AGATCAACAGAAGACACATCAACCAGAGACATCTTGCCTCCAGCCACTCCAGGAAAATAGGAGCTACATCAGCTCTGTTCTGTTGAGATCGTCCTTGGCCAGATGGATACATGCCTGTCACATCACTGCTTGCAGGACAGGTGAAGAGTGAGAGGGACTTGGAGGAGCCAGAGGTTGGCCCAGAGGGTCTGCACTCCTACCTACAGGACTGCAGACAGGTGAGATACCAAGCTTTTCTAGCTGTGACTCTACACCATGCATTGCTTTTCCTTCCTCTGCTTCAGCTCAGTCTCCAGCACAGACATACAGAAGCTCTGTCCCACAGCAGTGCCTCTTTTACTAATACTAAAAAAAAATCCCAAAAACCACCACCTGAAAGTGTGAGGAAAACTGTGCTTCAAAAGATTTATTACATATATTTGTACATATTTTACATGAATGGAATGTTAAACATACAACCTAAAAATCAATAAAAAAATATTTTCATTCATGATTATGTACTGGCAAACCACTGAAAAGAGTACCTTAGAACAACTTAAGTCAACTTGCAATCATACTGCTCAATTAAAAAAACCCGAACAAAACAAACAAACATGTTTTACATTAGACATTGCAAATTACATTCCAATTTCTGCTCTGGGTAATGAAGGAAGATATCTTGTCCATTACCACTGCACATACAGGTGGCATTTCAGAAGCTAGCACGGAGTTCCCTCTAACTTGCTGTGGGCAGGGTTAGCTCTGCAGGAAGAGGCATATAAAAAAGGGAATGCACACTCTGCTCCCTACCAGCAGGCACCTGCCAAAGGCTAGGAAGAGCCAGAATGAGATTCACAATCAAGTGATAAGGTTAACCCTGGATCACCACTGTGTCAGTGTGACATTGGAGCTCTTAAACTTTGTTACAAGTAGATTTTAAGTAGTTCATTAAAGCATCCCCTCTACAGCTAAGTCACCTCCCTTCTTCCTTGAAAGTAACAGTGTTTTGGCAATATCACTGGGGAGAATTCTTGACTGCATGGTAACAAATACTCCAGGCTTCATCTTAATATATACAAGTAGAGCACAGAATCAAGCTTTGATGTCTCTTCCTCTTAGTATTTCACACCTTGAGAGCTTGTGACCAGTCATGTTGAGAAGTGTTTACTACTAAATAGAACAAATTAGCAATAAAGGGGACAGATTTGAGGGAAAACAAGAGGAACTGGATTCAGCAACAGATTATGTTCCTGCAATGTTGGGTTACTTACATTTGAAATTCTGCCAGAATCGAGCAAATCCTATTTATTGTTGCAAAATCTTTGCCAAAGCACACCCAAGGGCAAAAGTCTCTCAGACAAACACACATAGATTAAAAGCTGCCAGAAAGATCAGCTAGTGGGCTGGCTGCCTTCTACTTCTTGTACACTGGCAACTTATTAGATCAAAACCAGAATGAAGTCCAACCTTTTTCAGGTGCAGGATATTCCTACAGTAGTTTACTTGAGCAAGTCTTCAACAACTAATAATGCCCCACAGTGAGGTCATTTTACAGCTTATCCCATCATCAGCTCTGATGTAGTAATTGAGACATGACTTTACAGCAGTTTGGGAAGCTAGCCTACAATGTGTAGTAAGATAACCAAATGCAATCTGAGAGTAAGGACTGGGTTGGATTTTTCAACCCCCAACAGGCTACAACGTCTTCAACTTGATTTTACAAGCAGGTTAATTTATATGGAAACAGAAACATCAAGAGTTTTACATTCAGGAAACAAATCCTGGACACAGTTCTGTCGTGACCTGCTCACACAGAATGTTTTGAATGACAAAAAGTTAAGCAGTACGAGCTGCATGAAAAAATCATATTTGGCTGGATTGTAGGAAACCCATAACAAGCCTCCCCTTCCAGTTACAACCTCTTACATTATGTTTGCTGATGCCAGTGGAAAGCCTGTCCAAAGACTGAGGGAATATGGCCTAAAATATAACGTGTCTTCAGCTAAGAAGAGAAGAAATTGATACTAAAATGATTTTTAAGCTTGGAAGGGTGGAAAGTAAATCATAAAATATAGCACTCATCAAAAAATGAGATAATCCTCCACTGGCAAAGGTGAGCTGGAAGATCCCATAGCAGCATTTCTGCATTCCCAGGTATATGGGAGTCTCTCAGCAGGAAACTCCCAACTGCCCAGCAAACTTAGAAGATACAAAGCAATACCAAATTCGCATACGAATGTTCTCTTTCAATGTGGGAAAGCAGCTAAAAGCCACAGAAATTCAGAGAGATCATGGCTTGTACCAATATGTGTTTTGCTGCTGTTTCTGTAGAGAGAATAGTAATATTCAACCACCAAGTTCCTTGCTTTTGGTGGAACACAGAAGAAATGGAGCAAGTTTCTGAAGCCCACACATGGAAAAGGCAGCATGCCAAAAGCATCCATAAGCACATCTTATGTATTAGACATTAAGCATCCAGAAACACCAAATATCCACATTTCTGAATAAAAATTACCTTTCTCATATTTGTTGAGATTTTAGTCTTCTGGGAGTCCATTTTACCAGCTCTCCAGCCTTTCAGGAAAGACTTAAAAAGCCAATGCTCCTAACATTAGGAAGTAGGATGAATGTCTGAATCTTGACATTCAGTCATAAGCCCCCTTTACATCATAAAAGAGGGGGAGCAAGGAAAAAAACCAAGGTCAAAAGTACATACTCAAGTTTTTGTACATCACTTATATGTTGTCCATTTCAAAATACTGCAGTACACTTAACCTTGACTACAAATAAGACCATCTGGTTTTGGCCTTGTTCCTCCCAAAAATAAAATATCAAAAATTTGTGGTGTGCTTTGTAGTTTTGCTTTTACATCCCACTGAACTCATCATTGAATCCACACGCTGAAAGAAAATTAGCTACCTCCTTTAAAAGGGAAGTGTTATTATAGATATACTGACTCATAAGAGATAGGACAAAGGGTGCCCTGTGCCAACAGTAGTGTGACTCTCTTGGTATTGTAGGGATATGGTTATATACAATTCAACTCACAGCCACCTCCACTATGAACTTCAAAACACAAGTTGCTACTGAAGAGACATGGGTATGTTACAAGTTCAAAAAAATCTCACATTTCAAGACAGTGTCGAGTCTACTCTTCCCCTGCTGGCAAGCAGCATGTTTATGGCAGACCTGAGTATGGGAATTATTTCACACCTTTACATACTTAGGGAAGATATAGGCCAGATGACAGAAAAATACTCTGAAACAGCACAGAATTGGCAATCTCAAGATATTTACAGGCAAAGAAGCATATCGCACCATAATATAAGTTATTGCTTCTTGTGGACAAGTGTGGTTTTCCTTGATCAAGACACAGGAATTGTTTGGTGTTTTATTTTCCCCTTCTGAAGCACAGTGACTCAGCACCCCTGTGAGGATGTTTTCAAACTGAAGGTGTTGCCTATGACTAGAGCTATGCCTACAGCATAGTCATCAGCAACTGATGGTGACAGAAAGCTTACCTAGGTGAGTTTCCACAGGTGTTTTCAAACCCAAGCATCACTACCAGGCTTCCAGGGTCATTCTAGGCTTGGTCTCTATTACAGGTTTTGATACAAGAAAACCCCCCATAGTCTTTCAGAAGAGATTCATGGATACCAAGAATGTCAAACTAAGGCTGACCTCATGTCAGTTCCTCAAATAATCCAAGGTATTGCTGCTCTACTGTGCTGATGGAAGTAGCGATGGACTCTTGCCTGCAAAACCATGCACAGTGCATTGGCTTGTGGCATGCTTTTCTAACACTGTTCCTAAACATGGGACAACAGCGATAATGGCTGGGTCTTTAAATCAGCTACTACCATGAACTACCAAAACTGAGCTCAAGTTGTAAACAGATTCATGTTTATAATATTTACCTACTTAATTCCCAAGCCAAAGGCTATCTATGACCTCAGAGCCCAGGACATCAAAACACTTACCTACCCCCTTTACATTGCTACAGGTTTCTGTGGGCATAAAGCCAACAGCAAACATTAAATCAATGCAAATGCAAAAGCTTTACTTTCAGAAGGTATCAGGAATTTAAAACATTGAAAAAGTGGGCCTGCAGGCAACACCACTATTTGAGTATAACAGGTGCTGTAATTCCTCATCCCCTCCCTCCCTTCCCCAAGATAATACAAGGCAACACAAATATTCTTGTTGAGAAAGGGTTCTTTACAGGGAACAACTGTACATTTGATGTGACTACGGAATTGAACGTGTGACAAAATGATTCTGCTCCCACTGAAAAAGAGAATACAACAGGGCCCCATAGTTACAGGTTCCGCTGAAACCAGTGATGCAAGCCCAAAAATGTAGAAACTGCACTGGCAACTATGACAATTACCTAGTTTGGACTCCTTTAGATTTGCAGCATAACAAAGGCATTTTACAGAGCAACATTCAGGAGAAAATGTTATCCAGGGAAGAATTGCTCTTCAAGCAAGATGGGAGAGTTTAAGAACACGCACTGCACTTGTTCTCCAGATAGCAGCAGTTGCTCCTGTTCTTTGCCCTTTTTGATATGAATCACAGTAGCAACAGAGAGAAATGTGTACTTAAACAAAAAAAAGAAAACCAGAATTATTTATGTACAAGAAAAATGTTTGAAGTATTGTGCAACTTATTTTAACTATTGAAACTCACTATGAATGCTGTTGCTAATAAATATTCATAAACTCTTCCCTGTGCTGTGAAATTCAGAAACCACTACAATTAATTCTCAATATAAAAAGTATGCTTCTAAGCCCTGATATCTGTTCCAGTTTACTGTCTTTTTTTCTCTGTCTTCTTTTATTTTAACTGTGATACTTTATGGGAACTAATATTTATACACAGTTTTACTTGATGTACGCACCCAGAGACATCCCGTGTTTCGTGGAGCCTTGGTTATAACAATATAATACAGTAAAATAATAATAAATTAAACAAATGCAGATGCGTTAAAAAAAAAAATAACCAAAACAAACCACACTGTCAAATGCTGGTCTCCACATGAAGAGACCAAGGGTTTAGATGCAAAGTACTACAGATCCTGCCACCAAAAAAACATTCAAACAAGGAAACATGAACTTGCGCATGTTTTAAAAATTAAACACAAATCCCACCTCGATGTTCTCTCGCCTGTGCCTATAAAAACCTCTCGCTGTGCCCACATTTGCAGTTATTCATTTACACCTCAGGAGGCAGCCTGGAGATGAGAGTAGTACAATAAAATAATTACCTGAAACATCTTTAAAAAAATACCCGTTAAACAAATTACCTTAACTGGCAGCACTTAAAATTGGTAATTCTTTTCTTTTTCCTATTTTAAAAAAAGTTGCATAGCTGTAAGATTTTGCTTTGCTGCATTTTTTTTTGTAGTTTTTACTCACAAGCAGTAAAAGAGATGTTTTAGTTACTTAAATAGCAATACAATGTGCAGATCTCAACAATCTCTATAGCTTGATCAATATAAATTAGTTACCTGTCTTGGTTTTACTCTTTGGACTGCATTGTGACAAAGGTTTAGTTAAAAAATTTTGAAATATTCCTACGCAGAGCAGTTTATGTTTTCTGTTCTTGAAAAAAGTGAAGAACATAAAACTGGGTGTGAATTCAGTAAATTAAGGTCACACTATTAGAATTTATTTAGTTTGCCATTTACTATTCTTCAGCCAACGAGAAGGTGAAAACGTTCCCACTCAAATCCGGGGCCATCCTCCTGCAAGGGTCTCAGACAGCACGTATCGAACATCTCCGCTTCCACTCGAGGCAGTAGGAAACATGTCCAATAACTCGCTTCTTCACAGAACCAGAAGTTAGGCTGAAATTAGGAACTTTGGCCTTCGATACAAAATAGTGTCAGTAATGTCTGTGGGGAGTCGATTGTTACAGGATGTGCAGCATTTTCAAAATCCCTGTATGTCCTTTGCATGAGTGTTTGGTATACTGAGCACTACTGGCAAGTAACTGGTGTCTGCAATGTTTTTTCCATGTCATTGTCCGTCTTTGCCTTTTTCAGCCACAAAGAACTCTAAGTCTCAAGCCAGGCATGCTGTGTTCAGCAAGGGAACCTCACATCTCCTATGTTTTCTGATCAGTGGAAGCAGCTGTTGGAAAAGCAGAAGACAAAGTACCATCATTTCAGCTATTTCAGTACAGAACACACTCAAACAGCATGAGCACAACCACCGTGTTTTCCTTCCCCTTTTTCCTAAGCCCCTAGTTATCATCATCTCTGCTGTAAACAAAGCAAATAGAATTTAATATGAGGTTAGACACCCATGAGCATGTACAGAGACAAAGGCATTCATGAACAGCATGTAGGTTTCTGCCACAGTCAGTAGTTGGGGGCAATATAGGAAATGCATTTGTTTATTAATTTTGGCTAACACTGCCCTGAGATTAAAACAATTATCCCTGTAGCAGGATACCTTCCTTCAGGTTTTCTCTGCTACCCCTGCAACAAAGACTCATGAAGCAACATGAAATAAATGCACAAATAAATGCCAGTTTCCCTCAGAACAACAAAACCAAACCCTCAGACACCAGCTAGAATTTCAGATATCTCTATGTCTCTAAGAATTATGATGATTGTTAGTGTGTTTTGCAATGCTTAGGGGCTTAATGTAAGATAAAGTTTTCGAGCTAGTCAACAAAAAGAATAAACCTATCCTTTAAACTTTTGACACTGATTGCAGATCTGCAATCATTAAAACAAAACATAAGCTGGAAATACGTGAACTTCCGTGAGATGGGATGGATAGAAACAGGTCAACATTTTTTATTTATTTATATATTTTAAACATTCTGGAATGCATTAACATGAAAGCAGTTCTGAAAGTATCTAGTTTTAACTTTTCCATATGATTCCAAAAGCTTCGTGTCAGAAATAAATGCCAGTACTCATGAAATAATCCAAAATGACACAATTATGTTATTTTAATTTTGTTTCATTTCCATGGAAAAATATTCTTTAGAAGTTAATGGCTAAAGCTTTAAATTGCCATTACTTGCCGCTTTCCAGTACTAAAACTGGAACACAATATTTCAGACCATGCCATGTTAGGATGCAGAAACCTTTTACCTATATTGCAATATATGTCAATGCTTACTGATTAATATTATAGTTCTGAGACATAGTAGCAAATTCACAAATGAAAAAAAAATTAGCATGGAGTTACTCCAGATAATCAAGATATTTATTGTTGAAATGTACATGTCTAAAAATAAACATTACCTAAAAACATGAATCTTGTCTTAATCAGATGGATGCTCAGGGCAAGATCGATTTACTTCAAACCATTCGTCTATGCAGCTGTTGGATACAAAACAAAAATGAAAACAATTGACATGAATATCAGAAACATTTAGCAGTAACATATGAATAGAAATTGGTTTCTCATAATTTCAATGACTAGTAGGATTTTATATTATACAGAGTGTATCATACACACACACAATTGGAAAAATTAATAACCCCAAACCACAATAATATTTAGATATTAAACACTGTTGAAAAACTAAATTTCTTAAGTGTTAAAATTTTCTCAGGAAGTATTTTACGAGTTGCTATCCAGCTTTTTTACACAGGTTACTTCACTATTAACATTATCATTTTGCTGATATAATTTATTGACATTTTACTTCCCGTAGTTACAGACACTTGTGAAAACAAAATATGAAACAGGTTTAAAAAGCATTCCCCCTCCTCCCTGCCCACATCCATTAGCATCTGACAAAACATAAGCACACTAAGCTCCTCAGCCATGATGTGCACTCCTTCCCCATACAGGTGATTTTGCAAGAATGAGAAAATTATAGCAGGGAAAAATAACTTCAAATACATGGTGAAGATGCAGAGAGATGTAATTTAAAAAAACTCTTTAGGGTTGCTGCTGTCGTTTTGTTGTTGTTTGTTTTTAAATGTAAAAAGCAACTAAGTTTTAAAGCTCCTTTAAGCACCCCTTAAGGAGTTACCCAGTAAATGCAACCTTCCCATATTTTATATCCATCCCAAGGAATACTTGCCCTTTATGATATATGCAGAGGCAAGGCAGCCGTGCTATAGTATCTCCTTGCTGCAGCTCTTCCAGGCATATTGCACACTCCCCAGCATCTTTACTCAGCACATCCTCTGATGAAAGAGCACAAAGTGAAATGGTTAAAAAGCAGGCTACTACAGGCAAAATGTTCCTTATTCAGAACATCAAGGACAGCTACAGAAAAAGGTATTTCTTGTTCTGCAGAAAGTCCTGTCAAGGTAAAGTTAAGTGACATACCAGCTGACTCATGATGAGAGACCTCTTAGTAGCTCAATTTACAATATGGTTATGATTCTATTTCTTGCCTGAACAATACTGCCATAGCTCAAAATGAAGTCCTGTAGGAAGACACCCATATGGAGAAAAAGGGTACCCATAACCAACAGTCAGCATTCCTTTGGAGTTTATACTGTGACGGCAGATCTATAACCCATCTCACAGGCTCTGAACCACACAGCCACAGTAGACAAACACTGTGTTTGCCAACCCCAAGAGGTGAACATCGGAGAAATTGGGTTCTGGACACAGATGGTATGTAATGCCTCCAGGACTGCTTTGAGGATTCATGCTAAGTGGGTTTTTCTTAGCTGTACTTTCTTCCTTACGCTCAGTTTTCAATATGGAGGCTAAGCTCGAGCCTGAATGTAACATTTCTCTGGACAAGGCACTGTAGGTAAGTAACTAGATAAAATTGTTCCTAACTTCTAAACACTTAGTCTATCATTTTTATTTTTTTTTAACTCTCCTACCCATCTGGCATTCTTTTACCAGCCTTGCTCATAATTTCACACCCTCCACCTCTTCTCACCATGTAGCAAGTTCTACATCCCATCCACCTTTTTCTCAGTTTAAAGTATCCAACTGTTAGCTGTAAGAACGGGAGATTTTCATCAGGGAAAGATCAGTGCTGTATGGCTCCAATGACCCTAAACTCCTGAAGACACTGAATTTTTTGCAGCATTATCAAGTCCCTTAACAAAGGAGGAAAAAGTAAGCTACTAGGAATGCAAAAGAGTTGGCTTTCGAAAAGAAATTTCTGGGAAAACATATTATTTTTAATAAAAACCGTCTCTCTTGGACACTTCTCTTAGCCAGAATGTGGGATGCAGAATTCAGTCTTAGTATGACACAAAACAGGAGATCACGTAAGGCCCTGTTTGCCAGAAGCAGATTAAAAGTCCCAGTTACACACATCCTCACACAGCCCACAGAGCACTCCCAACACGGGACCACATAGCAACCAAGCTGGCAATGCAGTCTCTGGCACAATCAGAAAGGTGCACACTTGGCAAAATAAAGCCCACCTGTTCAAGTTTCCACAGTTTCATGGGAAAAGGTTCCCCTTCTTTACCAAAAGCACCTAAAGTGACTGTTTATGGAGAGTACCCGTTTCCAGGCATGACTGAGAAACCAGCACTCTATGCTGTTCTCTCCAGTGGCTCCAATACTCACCACTGGCTTTCCAAACACAGAAAATGACAGACAACTACAAAGTTATCATGGTAGCAAAAAAAATGAGAGGAAATTAGGTCTACATTGTTTCCATTAAATGACAGCAAGCTGTCTTGCAGGTGCTTGGGTTTCTAAAACAGTGCTTATTTCAGTCTCTGCTATATTCATTGGTTATGCTAAAAACACCATGTAATGCCACCTTCCTGAGGAGGTGTGAAAAATATATAACATGAAGTGAACCGTTATAAAGAAGAATATTCAAAACAAAATAACGAAGAAAATTTAAAAAATGTATTTCAATGTGGTAACATTATTAGAAGGTGTTGTATTAAAAAATTGCTTCTGTTGTTCTATCAGAAGCTGTAAGCTTCTGAGAACATTAGAGATACTTCAGAGACAAAGTAATTTAAAACAATACAAAAGATTTTAAGAACTCTGTCAACTTGCCCAGAAGAGGGTGCTTGGGATAAATACTTTCTTAAGGTTGTTTTTTGGTGGCTGTTGGGTTTTTTTGTTTGGTTTTGTTTTGTTTTTTAATAAAAAGATATTCCAATCTCTGACACCAGGAGGCACATACTCTCCAGACAGCATTGTCCTGCTACAGAGATATTAATCTTTGCCTGAGGCTCTCAGACACTACCCTCCTAGACCGCCTCTTTGCATAAGAACTTTGCCAAAAGTCCTATGGGTAGATCTGCTTTCTTCCCACAGTTAGGCTGTAGGAAACAGCACCATTAATAATGCAAGCATGTATCATGTACACAAAGCATACTTAATAAAAGCAGTTTTTTTCCACGGAGTCCCTTTATCAGATCAGCAACTGCTACCTAAAACAAAATGGCCCTAAGATACATCCAGTGTATTAAACCCCAGCCTTGCTCCCTCAGCACTCTTGAGAGGGAAGCATTTAGTCAAGCTTTGATAGCAGAAATTAAAAAGCTGTCTGATAAAAATACAGTTCATAAAATGAAGCACTCGTGTGAACTGCTTTCCCATCATTCTCTATTGTACACGTCTGGCTTATCCTGCACTCCCCAGATTGCACAACACTCGGGTCTGAACTCCCGCTGAGCAATTTAACAATGTTCTGCACCTTTGGCTAACGTTAGGGCACGATGCCAACTTAAACATTTGTATCTCCCACCAGCCCTGGCGCAAGTGTCTGACACTCCTTTTATTTTCCCTCCAGTATTCCTGTACTCTCCCTCTTGCCAATACTGGCCCTACTGCCCAAGTCCCTGGCAAACAGCTTGCCGCCCTCCCTGGCTTCACCCCAGGCTTTCCGACTGGGATGAGCCACCAGGCACACACTGGGCTTTGCCTAGTCACACCAGAGGGAGTTGGTATGAACGCTGATGACGGCCGGCACGGACTGGGCCTCAGAAACACGGTGGAGTTCTGCCACCCCTGCAGAAGAGATTTTGTTAACAGGTTTCAATGCTCCTCTTCCTCTGGAATAATGAGGAGTCAGCATTCCCTAGTTCTTACGTTAACCTTATTAATCCTGCTAGGCTCTTGTGCATAAATACTGAAGGAATGACTACCAAACACCCAACTGCTATAAATGTCCACATGTAACTTGGCACTACCTATTAGCAGACTCCAAATCCATGTAATTAAGCTCATAATTAATTACATATGTAGAGCGACGACAGCAAAATCAAATCTTTCGTGGACCTATGACACTTTGGGTCTGCTACCTTTTGACCATTTTAGGTGATTCAGATCATCAGTCCAGATAAAGAAAGAGGAGTGAATAGTCCTGTTAGACCTGGATCTGGTCAGAATTTGTTCTGTTATTTATTTCACACTCCTGTATCAACACTGGTTTGTATCAGATGGAAGTCAGTTTAAGGGCCATTTAACAATGACTCTTAAACATATCTGTTACAGAAAAATCTGTAAATCATCTTGCACAGAACCACTGCAGTCTGAACAGTTTTTTTGTTTTCATCTTTTCCTTCAGCGGAGTGATTCAGCAGCTACACATTATTTCTTCCTTTTTCTCTTAAAAAAACAAACCAAACAAACAAAAACCAAAAGAAAAACCAGTGAAACAGTTCAAAATTTCATCAATGTTATGATTTAAACATTTATATCAGTGTACTACCTAAATGGAAGTGGGAAGAGGAAACAAGCATTTTTCCATTTCACCCACATGTGGGTACATACACAAATACCACACCTCCACATCCATCTGCCTTGCACCAAATAGGAGATAAACACTCCTCCGCCTTCCCAGCTACTTGAACAAGTACACACTAGCCAAAAACTGGTGTCAAAGATGAAATCTGGCAAAAGAGCATAGTATTTCCCTCCTGAGTCTGCTCAAGTACTTCTCCCTCCCCTCCTCTATCTCTAGTTACTACTACTACTGTTTTAACTTCTGGTTGTCAGTGTTTTTTCCTCCTGAAATTCTGCTTTTACCTTCAGTGGAAAATAAATTCTACTCCACTCCTGCATTTATAGCAAAATAGGTAGTACTGAATTAAAATACAATCATCTTGGCAAATTTACACATACTTTACCAATTAAAAACTTTTTCTATAACTTTTGAAAATATGTCCAACAATTAAAAAAGCCATTAACTCAGCCATCGTTAGGATTATAGGCAATATCTGTGATTAAATTGTCTTTAAACTGAGGACTGCAAAAGCACATGCAATACATACCTTATGGAATGAGTCATTAAAATCTGTGCTCCTGCTTTCTGTTTTTCCTTTTAAAACACAGATATAGCCCTAGGCTCAAGAAACACCAAGTCACAAATCATGGAGATGTTGATAGTATTTGGGGAGATATCACTTTATAGCTGCAGTATTTTACTTTTCTCTAGGCATTCATTGGAAACAGAAGACCAAGTTAGAAACATCTCTGACCTAATCAAATAAAAATTTTTTCAAAATACATGTATTTTTATTAAAATTTAAAACATTAAATGTCCATGGAAGCTGCCACCATAACTAGCTTAACAGTGAAGGGCACCACAGGAGTCCACCCTTTCAGGAATACAACAGAAACCAAACTGAAACACCTTTGGAACAGTATCTTATCAGAACTAAAACTGGTAAAACAAAAGCCATAAGAGGTTAAAAAATATTGATGAAGCTTCATTAAATGGTACATATTACCATGTATTACACATTCATTAATTTTTGAAGCTGATTACTAAAAACTGTCTTAGTAAAGTACTAGAGACTGTCTTTGCTTGTTTTTAAATGGAGTATGTAGAGCTCAAGACTAATAGCCAACATGTTCACAAGTATAGCATAAATTCACCCATATTGCAGAATTTATTCTACATTTTTACTGTTATCACAAGTAGTCAAGGAGAATCTGCATGTTCCACACGTATCCTACTATTCAGTAGCCAGCAAGCATGTGTGTATGTGATTAACACATTCTTGTTAGATGTCACTGACTTGATTTACTAAATCTTCCTGGCTTCTGCTGCATCTGTTTTTTTCCCCTCTCCATTTCTTTCCAGCTATCTCCTACTACACTTTCCTCCTCTTCACACTCATTTCCCCCAAAATATCACTGTCTCGAGACCCATATTTTCTACCACTCCTCCTATTCTCCAACATCTTATTTAATTTACTGCTGTAATGCAGCCACTGGAGAAAGGAGAAAGAATAAT